TGCTCGCACACAGGCCCCTTGGTGGCGGCAGCAGCAGCCTTAGCGTCTCCCGCCCGTCTCTGGGGTCCGCGCTTTTAGCCGCGGCTCGCGCCCGTCTCTGGAGTTACTTTAAGCAGCGCTCTTAAACCCCTGTCCTCGCGCACCAGGAAACAAAGAGGTAAGAAAAAGTCTCTTGCCTCTTCGGTAGGTCCAGACTTTTCCCCGGACTCCCTCCCGGCTAGCCGTGGCGCACTAATCCCCTGCAGGCTGTGTTCACGCCGCCAACTCCAGTCCTCTCCCTGCGCTCCGACCGAAGCCCGAGTCTCGGCTCGCAGCCCCGCCCACCCTGGTGGGTGAGCAGACAAGCTTCTCGGGCTGGTGACTGCCGGTCAGCACCGATCCTCTATGCGGGAATCTCCCCGCTTTGCTCCGCACCCCTGTTGCTGCGCTCTCCTCCGCAGCTGCGAAGCTCCCCCCTCCGCCTCCCGCAGTCTCCGCCCGCGAAGGGGCTTCCTAGTGTGTGGAGACCTTTCCTCCTTCACAGCTCCCTCCCACTGGTGCAGATGCCGTCCCTATTCTTTTGTCTCTGTTTTTTCTTTTTTTTTTCTTTTGTCCTACCCAGGTACGTGGGGAGTTTCTTGCCTTTTGGGAGGTTTGAGGTCTTCTGCCAGCATTCAGTAGGTGTTCTGTAGAACTTGTTCCACGTGTAGACGTATTTCTGGTGTATCTGTGGGGAGGAAGGTGATCTCCGCGTCTTACTCTTCCGCCATCTTCCCAGCCCCTCCCTTTTTCTCTTGATTATTCTGAATAGAGATTTATCAGTTTTATCAGCTTTTCAAAGATCTAGTGTTTGGTTTTGCAATATTGTGTTTTATAAGAAATATATATATATTTGATGCACAGTTCTTGGCTCACTTCTAGAACTCTTGGAATTTCCTAAGTGTTGAGTGTGACAAAGGTGTCTTTTGTTATGTTAATGAGGTGACTTTTGAAAAGCCCCTAAGGGTGGGGGCTGGTTGCCTACGGTGCAACCATGTGATAAGAGGATTAGAGGACTGGAACTTTCAGTCCCTCTCTTGGGAGAGGAGAGGGATTGGAGGTTGAATCAATTGCCAATGGTCAATGATTTAATCAATCATGCCTGTGTAATAAAGCCTCCATAAAAACTCCAAAGGATGGGGTTCTGAGAGCTTCTGAGTTGGTGAACACATAGAGATTGGGCAGTATGGTGCACTTTGAGAGGGCATAGAAGCTTTGTGCCCTTTCCCCATACCTTGCCCTATGCAGCTCTTCTATTTGGCTGTTCCCTGAGTTACATTCTTAATAAACTGGTGATCAGTAAGTAAAATATTTCTCTGAGTTCTGCGAGCCACGCTAGCAAATTAATCGAACCTGAGGACTAGGTTGTGGGAACCTCTGATTTACAGCCAGTTGGTCAGAAGTACAGGTAACACCTGTACTTGGGATTGACATTCTAAATTGGAACCTCTAATCTGTAGCCAGTTAATTAGAAGCACAGATTGCAATCTGGGTTTTTGACTGGCCTTCCATGTGTGTGGGGCAGTCTCGTAGGACTGAACCCTTAACCTGTGGAATCTGATGCAGGCCTGAGAGCAGGACACCCTGCTGGTGTCCAAGAGTTGCTTATTGTTGGTGTGGGAACTACCCACCCACCCCATTGAAATTGGGTTGCAGATCACCGAAAGAGGTTTCACTTATTATTGTTATTTTTTTCAATTTCATTGATTTCTGCTTTTTTTCTTTTTTAAAAAAATATTTATTGGGGCTTCCCTGGTGGCACAGCGGTTGAGAGTCCGCCTGCCGATGCAGGGGACGTGGGTTTGTGCCCCGGTCTGGGAAGATCCCACATGTCGCGGAGCGGCTGGGCCCATGAGCCATGGCCGCTGAGCCTACGCGTCCGGAGCCTGTGCTCCGCAACGGGAGAGGCCACAACAGTGAGAGGCCCGCGTACCGGGGGGAAAAAAAAAAAAAATTTATTTGGCTGCGCCAGGTCTTAGTTGCAGCATGTGGGATCTAATTACCTGACCAGGGATCAAACCTGGGGCTCCTGCATTGGGAGCGCAGAATCTTAACCACTGAAGCACCAGGAAAGTCCCTCGTTGGTTTCTGCTTTTACTCTTATTATTTTCTTCCTTTTGCCTGCTTTGGGTTTAATTTGTTCTAATTTGCTAGTTTCTTAAAGTAGGATTCCTGGATTACTGATTTGAGACCTCTCTTTTCTAAAGTAAGCATTTAATAAATTTTCCTCTAAGCATTGCTTTAGCTGTGACCCACAATTTTGATACTGCATTTTCGTTTTTGTTCAATTTGAAATATTTCGTAATTTCTCTTTTATTTCTTCTTGACCGAAGGGTTATTGAGAGGTATGTTGTTTAATTTTCAAACATTTGTGGAGTTTTCAGATATCCTTCTTTTGTTGATTTCTACTTTAATTCTGTCGTGTTTAGAGAAAATCGTATTATTTTAATCCTTTTAACCTTTTTGATATTTATTTTATGGTCTGTCTTGGTAAGTGTTTCATGTACATGTCGTGTGTATTTTGCTGTCATTTGAATGGACAGAGTGATGATGCAGCTTGTCCACAGTAGCCGGAGCTACAACTACAAGCCAATTTCCTGAATAGCCTTTAGAGACAAGAGAGTTAATCAGGAAGTTTTCCCCAGAAGTCATGAACTAAAGTTGGTTTTGACTTGAATTTTGATGACAAAGAAGCAGAGGAGTTTGAAAATAGCTCTATTCAAGGTGGGAATTTGGAGAATTTGTTGATAATGCTTATATGGGGCACTTGCGGTGGCAGAAGTTCTTGTGCTTAGTTTAAGTGGTTAGAACTTTGTATTAATACCAACAGTGATTGTATACTCATTTAGTGTTTGGGTATCTTTTTACATTCATACAATCATTTTACATGCACCCAGTGACTTTGGGCCTTTTGAAGGTCATGTGAGCAAGTATTATTTTCCTGTCAGTATTTAACTGAGAAAACAGAAGCTCAGAGAAATTAAGTAAGTTGTTAAAGGTCACACAGTGATTGGTGGATTTAGGCTATTATTTGTTCCATTGCTCAGACTGTATTTATTATTCATTTCACCAACTTTGATTATCTGTCTTTAAAAAGTGTGCCTTTTTTCATAGAGGGATCAAAATACAAGATTGTGGTTGAATTAAAAGGCTCTATATTCTGTAGTCTCCATATTAAGATTCTGACACGTTTTGGGGTCAGTAATCTATAATTAATGGTAAAGGATAGTAAGTAGTATGGAGTATCATGCAGCCTGTTTTGTTAATTTTCTTTATTAATTGGGAGCAAAGGGCTCTATGGTTGACTGATTCTGATTTTTTCCCCCAGTATTGTTTGTGTCTAACTTCCAAAAGTACTTTCATATCCAGTGATAATTGGATTCATTTCATCTGTACCACACCACTATAAAACAGAACAAGGGGTGTTTCTGCTTTTGGCTGATGAGGGATTTAAAGCATGGCCCATTAACATTGATTAGTGATTATATGTTGAGTAGAGTGCTAGGCACTAGGGCTATAAAGTCAGAGTTCCTTATGAAGCACTAGAAGGTTGGAATTAGAACTCAGATCACTTGAGTTTTTTTTCTTTTTAAGCCCAGTATCTTTTCAAGTCCTAGAAACATGTTGTGTCATATTTTTCAACAAGTTAATTTAATGCCCATCTTTATGAGGCTTATGCTTTGAAAACTTTACCTTCATGTTAGATTCACTCCTGCCCATGATCTCACCCCACCCTTTCTTTAAATGGCATGTATTTTTCTGATTTTAAAAGTGATCCATGTACTTTGTGGACAATTTGGAAAATTTTGAAAAGCACAGAGAGGAGAATAAAAAATTATGTGCACTCTTTCTGCCCAGCTGCAACCATTGTTAACATTTTGATGCATATGATTTTATTTAATCTTTTTTCTCCTGAGGTATATATGTGTGTAAAATATTCTATGTTTGTAAAATTTTGAGTTTCTTCTAATCTTAAAACTGATTTCGTAGTGCTTTCTCTTTTTCTCTCATAAAATGAAACACTTCTTGAAATTGGTTTATAGTTTTCATTATAAGTTTATTATTGCAGGCCCATCTTTTGGTATTGTATTCAGTTAAGTAAATGATGTAGGTAAACAGGGAGCATGTGATTAATTTTGCTTTAGTAATAGATGTAGCAGGTATGGAAGTCAGATAAATGTTCACAGGAATCTTCTGCTGGCTTTGACCTTTCTATCTCTAGCTAGAAAGAAGAGATGAAATATTCTATTCTGGTAATCCCCCACTTGAACCCTCACATTAATCCTTCACTGCAGAAGCAATTAAAATTTTTTTAGCCACAGTTCTTTCTGATCAAGTAACTGAATCTGTTTTTATAGACTTTATACTATTTTGAGTTTTAAAAAAAACTTAGTTCTTCAATTTTAAAAGTTTTAATTCTCCCACCTTTTAGGTGAAGTTTAATTCGAGGTTGGCACTGACTGAAGCTCGAATCAGTTGCATTTGAAAGAGAGTAGTAGACAGAAAATAGTTAGTAGACTTTTAAAGACTTTGAGGATTGGATATTATCTTTAAACTGTCTTTTTGAAATTAGAAAATAATATTTATCTTTTATGTTTTTTTCTAGGGCTTCATGTTTTTTAAAGCACTCTAATAGACTAACTGGGCTGTGTTTTCTTTGAGATCAGAGAATGTATAGTGTGCCTCTGAATCCCCTATACTTAAGGAATATGCTTTCTGTAACAGCCTCAAGAAGTGTTTGTGAAAAATGTGTGTGAATGATGGTGCCTGTGATCTCATGTGATGATTTTGCGAGGACTTTGACTAAAGCAGGAAACTCTAAATTGATCACCTGGTCTTATGATAAGTGTTTTGTTTTCTGCTGGCTTGTTAGACGTAGCCAACCTATTTCTCAACATTGAAGTAGGTCCTGTCATTTTCTAATCACATTAAAACTTGACTGGAATGAGATGAACTAATAATGTGTTTTCCTCCTCTCTTAGATTCATGCCCGCAACCAAAATGAAATAATTTTTGGGCTGAATGATGGCTATTATGGTGCTCCATTTGAACATAAGGTAAGGGGATTTGCATAACACTGTGAGTTTTGTTTAGTGCAGGTGTGCTTTGATGTATCAGGTAAAAGCTCTGTGTAAATAGAATCATGTTTTAAGTATCATTATAAGTTTGTTGTTTAGTGTGGCTTAGGGTGAATGCTTAAAGTGAAAACTCATTTTGTAACCACATCAACACATCTTTTCTAAATCCAGATTATATTAATTTTCCTAAGAGAAAATCTCATGTAGCTGTTTTCTACATAATTCTTTAGAGGTTAAGGAAGAATAATGAATTTTAATTAAGTGTAATACAATTTTATTAACTGTTTCAGAAATCTTTTACAACTTTGAATAAATTTAAGAAACCTGAGGCAAGTTATATTGTAGTCATTTATATTATAGTCTGTGCTGTCTCTGTATCTAAAGGTGATTAGAGAAAGGAGAGGTATTTACCAAGTACCTGCTATCTGTGGCACCATGCCAGGCGCTTCATGTTCTTTATCCTACTTAATACTAGCCACAAACCAATGAGGTGAATTTTCTACATTATTTCCTCTTAGTGATCATGTTGTTTTCTAATTCTTGGTTATCTGAAATGCTATTGCTAGAATGCTTCATTCATTCAACAGCTATTTACTGAGCACCTGCTGTACATCAGCTACTGTGCTCTAAGTGCTAAGGGTACAATGGTGAGCAAACAGATTTTTTTTCCCTGCTGTCATGGAGTGTATGAGGGAGACAAGCACTGATAAGGTAACCTGATAGATAACTGTATGAACACAACGTTGGTGGGTGCTATAAAAGCATGTGATGAGGATCTTACCTACTCTAGTGGCTCAAGAAAGTTCTACGGGGACTTGACTTTTAAGGTTACAATCCAGAGGATGAATAGAAATGAACAATGTGGAGGGATGGAGGCTGAACAGAGAGAGCATTCCAGGTAGAGGAGGGTAACATGTTGGAAGGCTATGAAGTGCTAGGGGAAGTGGTGAGTTTTCGGGACTGAAGGAAAGTCTGGGTGATAAGGGAGAAGGATACCAGAGGAGGCTGGAGAGGTAGACAGGGACCACATAACACAGAACCTTTTGAAGGGTTTTATCCTAAGAGCAGTAGCGTGTGTTGAAGGATTTTTAGCATGGCAGAGATATAATTAGATTTGTGTTTTAATAATTTCACTCTGGCTGCTTTAAGGACTGATTGTAGAGAGGCAAGAATATATGTGGGAAGACAGTAAGAAGGATCTTACAGTACAGAGGGTAAGAGATTTAATACTTTGAAACAGGTTTATGGTAGAATAGCAGGTAGATTTAGGAAAGTTTTAGGAGGTAAAATCAGTAGGACTTGGTGATGGTTTGAATTTAGGGTGTAGGGAAAAAGAAGGTGTTAAAGGATGACTTTCGGGTTTCTGGCTTAGATGAAGTAACCAGATGGATGAAGGTGCCAGGCACTGAGAGAACTAAGGACACTGGAGGAAGACAGCTTTGTTGGAGGCAGATCGTGAGTGAGTTGAGATTTGATCACATGGGCTTTGAGATACCTTCAAGATATCCATGTGTAAAGTAGGCATTTGGATTAGATGAGTCTGGAGTTCAGAGGAGAGAAGTAGGTTAGAGATTTAAATATAGAGATATAATAATGGCAAATAGTTATTGAAATCGTGAGTTCGGATAAGATAGACCAGTGACAAGCTTTACAGTGAGAAAAAAGGGGCTTAATAGCAGGGGCCTGTGAGGGTCTCCAACTTTTAGAGGCCAAATATGGGAGGAGGCTTTGGAAAAGGTGGCTGAGAAGGAATGGTGAGAGATAGATGAGGAAAAGAGAGTGAAGTCTCTTGTGGAATCTCAGAGGCTAAAGAAAGAGAGGTTTTTGTTTTGGTTTGGTTTTTGGTTTTTAAGGAGAGGGTGGTCAAAAAAGATGAAGACTGAAAAAGGCCCATTCAGTTGGGCAAAATGCAAGCTATTCTAGGTGACTTCATCAAAACTCAGTTTAAGCTCTATTAAGCTTTTTTTCTTTATTTTAAAGCCCTCATCTTCTAAGTTCCTATAGTATATCAGCACCCTTATGTACACCTTTGACATAGGTTTTACCACTTTATAGCTCTTTATTCCTTTCTAGTCTGTAAGCTTCTTAAGGACAGATTTCCATATGTAATTTTGAATTCCTAGTACCTATCATAGTCCTTGACATGGTATTTGCTTAGTAAAAATGTTTTATTTAATGAGAGAATTGTGGGAACTGCCACTGCTGTTGTTTGTAATGTCCCATTTATAGGGTTTAGCCATCCTGAGTCTGTTGAAGGATTAAGTTACTCCTGTAACAGGTAACCAACTCACCATCTAGCACAATGTCTGGCATATAGTAATAATATTAATAGTTAACATCTGTTGAATGTATTATGTATCAAACAATGTTTTAAGAGCTTTATATCCCTTACTGTATGTAATCTCCCTAAGAATTTTGTAGCCAGAGAGTAATAGTAGTTGAGATTTCGGGTAGGTCAATAACTAATAACCCTTTCTTCTTCTCCTGAATTTGGAACAAGTTTAGAAATAAGACAGGTGATAAATGGAGATCAGAATGTTGGCGTTATTACTGATAAAACTAATTGGCAAATGTGGCTTAAATTCTGCAACTGAAAGAGCTTGTATATAGTACTTTCTCCCAAAATGAATCCCCATACCACCAAATAACAAAACAAGCAAAACTGCGTTCTTCCCCTTACAGGGACAGATCCTGACCCTCCAAGACAAAAGCAGAATTTATGTGTACTTTACACAGGCTGTTCCTGAATGGGAGGGAACCTGGGAAGAACTAAGGCGGTCATGTTCAGTTTTGTCTCCCAAACTCAGCAGTCAAGCTCCTGCCTATTCTGGGGAGGAGTGAGTGAAGGACACAGAAAAAGTAGACTTTTTTTTTTTTTTCTTTATAACCTTCTTTCCTGGGAAATGGAGTGGAAAGTTTTTCTCCTATGTGGAAGCATGGGAGTGCAGAGTAAGTGTTTCTCCCTAACAATAATAATAATGTCTAATGTTTAGTGAGCACTTATGTGCCAGGCACTATTCTAAGTGCTTTATATATTTTACCTCATTTAAACCCTACAATTGTCCTTTTATAGAAGAGGATGCTGGCACAGAGAACTTAAGTAACTTTCCCAAGATTACACAACTACTAAGTAGCAGAGCTGGGATTCAAGGCCAGATGATCAATAAATGTTCACTGAATAAATGTTTTGTAATAAGTGGTACATTTTATTCTATAGTCCTTTAGTTAATAAGTTTTGTAAATTTATAAGGCATGCTTATCTTGCCCTGTACTAGCTTTTTTTTTTTTTTTTGTACTAGCTTTTTAAAAAAAATTAATTAATTTACTTTTGGCTGCATTGGGTCCTCATTGCTGCGCGCAGGCTTTCTCTGGTTGCGGTGAGCGGGCGCTACTCTTCGTTGTGGTGCGCAGGCTTCTCATTGCAGTGTCTTCTCTTGTTGCAGAGCATGGGCTCTAGGAGCACAGGCTTATGTAGATGTGGCACCTGGGCTCAGTAGTTGTGGCTCGTGAGCTCTAGAGCGCAGGCTCAGTAGTTGTGGCTCACGGGCTTAGTTGCTCCACGGCACGTGGAGTCTCTCCAGACCAGGGCTTGAACCCGTGTCCCCTGCATTGGCAGGTGGATTCTTATCCACTGCACCACCAGGGAAGTCCCCCTGTACCAGCTTTCAAATGAACACCTGACATATAGGTTGAATCTCCTTAAAAAGTTTTTTTTTCTTTCTTTCTTTTTCAAGAAAGCCGTAAGCAGGGTTTCCAGTCAAGAAGGTATTATAAGTGCACACTGTGAGACCCTCTGCTGAACCAAACAAAAAATAGCAATTGATGAAATCAGAGAAGTTTAAAGAGGCATACCTTGCTAAAACAAGCAAAGAGCAAGATAATAAACATCTCTGGAACAGAAATGGAATAGAAATGCAAAGACGTGGGCAGAAGCCTTGGGCGTTGGCTGAAAGATGTGCTCCTCTGGGCGAAATGAACACTAAATGAGCATAAAAGCTGAGTAGATGTGGCACCTGGGCTCAGGAGTTGTGGCTCGCAGGCTCTAGAATGCAGGCTCAGTAGTTGTGGCGCGCGGGCTTAGTTGCTCTGTGGCATGTGGGATCTTCCCAGACCAGGGCTCAAACCCGTGTCCCCTGCATTGGCAGGTGGATTCTTAACTACTGCACCACCAGGGAAGCCTTGACGTAAATGTTTTTAAACATTTATAGCAATTTGACATTATTGTGCCTTTTTTGTATTTTATAAAAGTATCAGCTCACAGTGGATTGAAGGAAAAGCAACCAACCCTTTCCCACAGAGAGTTTGAGATGCACTGCTCTAGACAACAGTAATAAGGTGAGGGAGGCTGTTTAAAGAGTAAGATTCATTGAGGTCGTTGAGTTGTTCGGGAGGAGGATAGAGACGGTAAACAAGTTTAGAATTTCTTAGAAAAAGTTGTGGTCGAGTGTGCATGTTAAAAATGTAAAGATGGGCTTCCCTGGTGGCGCAGTGGTTGGGAGTCCGCCTGCCGATGCAGGGGACACGGGTTCGTGTCCTCTGGGCCTCTGGGCCTGCGCGTCCGGAGCCTGTGCTCCGCAGCGGGAGTGGCCGCAGCAGTGAGAGGCCTGCGTACCGCCAAAAAAAACCCCCCAAAAATCTATACTCTGTTTCTAGCATTTAGGTTTCTTTACTTTTTTTTTGTTTGTTTTTTTTTTTGGCGGTACGCGGGCCTCTCACTGTTGTGGCCTCTCCCGTTGTGGAGCGCAGGCCCAGCGGCCATGGCTCACGGGCCCAGCCGCTCCGCGGCATGTGGGATCCTCCCGGACCGGGTCACAAACCCGTGTCCCCTGCATCGGCAGGCGGACTCCCAACCACTGCGCCACCAGAGAAACCCCCAGAGTATAGATTTTTAATTAGCAGAGGGAAAAAAGGGAATGTAAGGAGTAGAACACTTTGTCAACTTGATAGGAGTCAGAAAAGGAAAACAAAAAAGAAAGCAA